CCACTGTGCTGCGGGTCCCTTTGGTATTGTCCTCAGGCCATTGGCTGCGTAACCCTTCCTTGTCTGACTGTGCAGACCCTAAGAGAGCCCAGCAGATGGCTGGGGCTGAAGTGCCCTCTTCCACAATCTGGGGTGTTGTTCCCTTTGAGAACAGCCGCTGGCCACTGGCCCACATCGCTGCGAGGCTGAGGCTGGCCACTGACCCATGCTTAGCACACCCTGTCCTGCTCAGTCCTCACAGCACCTGGTGGGGGCTCATTTTCCCACACACACACTTTGAATGCACTCCTGTGGGCAGGAGCTGTGCTGCCATGCCGGTCCCATGAGTTGGTGACGTTCATGGTGCCACTGTGACACTGTAGCCTCGTGGTTTGTGTGAGTTTGTGTCCCCACTGTGGTGGAATTGGCCAGTTTCTCAGAAGTGTAAGCCATCATCAAGCAATGCTTGACTGCATGTATGTTTTACTATGCGAAATGTACACGACGTAAAACTTACCATGTTAGCCATTTGTAAATTCAGTGCATCCAGCATGTTTACAGAGTTGTGCAGTCATCACCACCATCCATCCCAAACTGATGTTCGCTCCCCGTCAATACTGACTCCCCAGGCCCAGTACCACCCCATCTTTCTGTATCTGTGGATCTGAGGACTCTAGGAACCTCACATAAGTGGCACCCCCCAGGACTTGTCACTCTGTGACTTGTTCATTTCTCACCATGACGACCTCAGGTGTCAGACTTTCCTTCTTGCCTAGAGCTGGGCACAGTTCCATGGTGTGGATGGACTCCATTACCTGTCTGTCACCCATAATGGACACTGAGCTGTCCTGCCCTTACTGTTGGGTTGGTGCTCTGTGAACATGGGTGTAAGGCTGGCTCTTCAAGGCAACACCTGTGCTGTTCCCTGGGGTCTTACTTAATCCAGCAGAACTCCACACTTGGAGCCAGGTTTGTCTGAAAGAGCCCTGGCAAGGACTCTTGTTACTAGCATCTAGACTCCTCATGCAGGAAGGTGGTGTGGTGAAAATTACACTGAACAGGCTCCCTGTCCAGTTCTGCCAACCCCAGGGGTTACCCAGGGCAGGTGACTTCTGGGCACTCTATTTCTCTGACAGGTGTCCAAGGCATGTTGACTACTCTGTCTTCTTTCTCAAGAGCCCCCCCTTTGTACCCCCTATCCCACCCCCCAACACCTCATTCTTTCTCACCTTGGCAGGAGAGCAGAGAAAGCCCTTTGTGGTGGGGGTTGTGGGAATGGGGCATGGCCCATTCACACTCTAGTTTGACTAGTGAGGGGGACAGACAGGTGGCCCCTCAAGGGGTAGGTGCTGCTGGAGAGAGACCCCCAACCCCAGGCTGGGAGCCCAGTCCCAGAGCTCACACTGGGCCAGGGCTCACATGCAAAGACCTGGTCCCTATACCCAGCTCACAGGCCCTACCTCAGACCTAAAACCCAGGTCTTGTCCAGTCCTACAGCTGTTTCATTGGAAGTCGTGGAGAAGCACCTGGCCTGGGGACGGGCGAGGGCTGGCTGATGAATGAACAAGACCATCAAGAGACTGCAGAGAGATCTGGGCCAAGGTCATCCAGGCCTCCACGGTCAAAGATAGGAGACAGCTCAGGACAGATCCAGATGGAAGCAGCCCATGGAGGTCAAGCTGTACATGATGTCCCTGTGACATCTTTCCCAGCTGCTTCCTTGGGAGTTTCTGTCCCTTGCCTGTACTACAGGATGGAGCTAAGGAAGGTGAAGGGGGAGGGTGCTAAAGGCTGGGGCTCCAAGGGCTTGACTGGAAACAGGAATGGTCTGTTTGGGCACCAGCATGGAGCACTTGGAGTGCCCTGCCAGGAGTGTCCAGGGCTGCTGAGGGAGACACATTTCAGACCCTGCCTGATCATGGGGAGGTCAGAGGGACATGGCTGGCTCCTCTCTTCTGGGCTGGCTTCTGTCCTTACCTTACCTGACAGGAGAGAACCCCACACCTGAGCTGGTCGCAGGCATAGGCCACACATGGACGCCCTGCCTCCTAGCTCAGCACATGCCTGCTGTGTCCTACTGGCAGGCTGGCCAAGTCTGGCCCTTTCGTGCCCCTGCCAGCTGCCCTGGAAAAGCAGGCTACTTTCCTGGAAGTCTGGGGCCTTTGCCCCCTCCCCCAGGCAGTGTTGTCCCATCTCCCTGTCCCTCTGTCTGGAACTATTAGTTAGTCAACTATGGGTCCAGGAGGCTGGGACCAGCTCTCCCGAGGCTGTTTCTCTGCTCAGTGAGGCCAGAGTCTAAGGGTAGGAGGAGGTGGGGTCTTGCCAGGATCCCCAGTGCCTCTGCTAGCTTGACCTAAAAGTTGGCCACTGGGGACCCCCCCGCCCCACTCCTCCCTGTCTAGGTTTCCACATTGTCCCCCTGCAGCTGAGCCCCTCCTACCTGGCAAGGGTCCCTGAGGAGGCTGGGCTGGAAGGGACTTCGGACCACATAGAATGACACCCCACAGATTGCTGGGGTCTTGGGGAGCCAAAAGGACATCCTCTACAGCAGCCCCCATCCCATACAGGGCAGGGAGGGTAGACCTGGGTTTGAGGTCCATGCCCAGCCATCACTCTGGGTGACTTCATTTCCACTGGAGCCGCCTAGAGACTCCCACACCCCTGTCCCAGTCTCTTTCCCAACTCCAGCTCCTGAAGGCAGCTACAGATGCTCCAGGGGGGTGAAGGCCTAAGGGAAGTGTGATGGTCTCACCACCCTCCCCCATCTCCAGCCCATGGGGGCAGGGACACAGCCCCTCAGGCCGCCCTACCCCCTAATTCACTCCCAGCTGTGGGACCCTGAATCTTTCTGCCTCCCCATGCCTGGGGATCCCAGGTGACTTTTTGGTCATGGGAAAGGATCCCTCAAGTGGACAGATCTCACCCCCTCCCATCTACCCAGGGCTCTGAACCAGTCCCCGAGCACCTGCCTCTATCTGCATGGAGGTGGCTCTGCAGCTTGGAGGCCCATGCTCCTCCCCTTTGCCAAGATCCAACCCCCCCAGGGTCCCTTGACAAGTGGTCTGCGACCACTCACCTGGCCCTCTTGGTGGCACAGGCATGAGGCAGGATTGCAGCAGACCCCCAGGCTCCATTGCAATGGCAGACACAGGCCTAGATCCCTTGCACATGGGTTGTGGGAGCTCCTTCCCTAGGAGCCCAACTCCCCCTGAATGGGCTTGCCATTCTGTGGGTGATGTAAAGAGCATGTGGCAGGCATGTGTCCATCATGGGAGGGGCAGACATGTGGAAGTGGTCAGCTTGGCCCCAGCCCTCTCCACTCACCAACAAGCCTGGCCCTCAACAGGCCTCCCCGGGGCCAGGGTCTGGATTCAGACTGTACTCCCTGCCCAAGGGGCTCCTTGCACACCCAGGGCTCCAGAGCACAAAGGGCCAGGTCCGGGGCCCTGGTCCTGCTGAAGCTGCTTTCTCCTCCCCACAGCAGAACAAAAGGCTGGGGTGGGGGGTGGGGCGCTGTGATCTCACTGCAGAGCCAAGGTTCCGATGCCTCAGCTCCTTACTGTCAAAGTTTCAAGGGCACCAGGTTAGAAGCTGGAGACAGAGCCCTGGCCAAAACTGCCTGGCTTCCTTCTCCTGGGAATCCCAGGGGAGACTTGGCACCTGGGAAGGATTACTGGGTGCCGATTCCCAGGTTCTCGAGAGACCAGTCACCCAGCAATACTCCCAGCAAACACAGGCTACCACACCACCTGGCCTCAGCTGCTCTGGCTGCTGCGGAGCTGAGACCCACCTGGATAGGGGCCTTGGGCTTTCAGGTGGGCATCAATGGCTTCTCTAGCCCCTTACCAGCAGGTGGGGAAGTTCATTGACCATGGAGCCTACTGGGGCTCCATGCTTCTGAGGGGCCAGAGAGGGAGACAACCTGAGAGAAGGGAAGTGAGTTGTGGCTGTACCTACCCAGGTCCCTGGAGCTGGACTTGGCAGAGGTGTGGGGGTGGCAGGCTTAGTGTGCCTGGGACCATTAGGCATTCTTAGTGGAGAGAGTGATGATGTGATTCCCATAGGAGGGAATGACTTGCGGTGACCAGTGTCCCACTTCAGTCCAGAGGCCCCATGTAAAAACCATGTCCACCCTTTAAGATGTGTCTGTGCTCATGACTGGCCCTGGTTCCAGGGGACCTCCTTCTGGAGACATAGCCTTCTGAAAGGCCCAATAAAACACATGAGCAAATAAACCCACCACCTACCTCCAGTAGAGAAAGCACTATGAAGTCCTGTGAAAGGGAACTAGAGATAGGATGGGCGCCTATTGGGTGACTAGAGGAGGCCCGAGAAGAGACCCTTGTGAGACTGCAGAAGTGTGGACCCTGCTGCTCAGGTATGGAAGGATGGCCTTCCAAGCAGGGCACACTGCGCAAGGGTTCAAGGTGAGACCACAGAGGCTAGTTCCAGGATCTGCTTCTGACAGACATGATGCAAGGCTCAGGGACCAGGGTGAGCCAGAAAAGAGCAGAGACTGGGATAATGGCTGCCAAGACTAGAGCCCAGAACCCTAGCTCAAGCACTGGCCAGGTAGAGGATGCCCTGAGATGGAGAGGTATGGGCCAGACAGGTCCCAGACCTGGGACAAGCTCTGCCCACCTGCAGTTGCCCCTATGTCCACCTGGGGGCGGACCTGGCCAAGGTAGGTGGCAGGTGTGCCAGGTGAAGTGGTGCCCCACTTTGCAGACAATAAAACCAAGATCCCCCAAAAGATGAGTTCCCCTCCTACCACTGTGGGCTTGAGGCAGGGCCTCACAGGAATACCTCCAGGGCAGAAGACATGGGGTGGAGGGGGTGCGGAAGGGGCGGATAGGTCAAATGCACTGAACCCCCTGTGAGCCTGGGGATGGTCCTCCCCCAAAAGAGAGAACTCCAGCAGCCCTGGATCCTAAAACCTCTGCATTCCTCAACCCCACTAGTCAAGCCAAGTCCAGGAAACTTGGGTTTGAACTGACTTTATTATTCTGTAAATGTGAATTTTACAAAGCGCTTTACAATTAATGACGACAGCCTTTTGTTTGTCGTGGACTTGCACCTTCTGAAACAGCTCTGAGCATGCTCGCTCAAAGCCCTTGGGTTTCCCTGGTGCTTGAGGACTTTGCTGCTGTTTTTAGTTATTGATACAATGTTGTCAGCCATGGCTACAAAGTAACAGTCTTGTCTCTACAGGACATCACAGCACAGGGAGGAAGAGAGGAGGACACAGGAAGGATAAAACAAGGCTTCCTCCTCCTAAAAAAAAACAAAAACAACAACAACAAAACCCTCAAAAGCCAGCATTTGCACGGCTGAATCTAACTCAGTGGTTCTGTGAAGCCCTCCCTTCAGAGCACAGGAACATAACTTATTTTAACAGTCACGAGTTACAGTACTGCTTTAACCCCAGACAGATCCTTTAAAACAACCATCTCTTTTTAAGTCTCTTTTCTCCAAACACCCTGTCGAAGGGATGAATGTTCTATTTGTGCCCAATGCCACCCAAATGTTCAAGTCAAAAATATTTATACATTTTATACTTAGTTCTTTTTTTTTTTTTTTGTCTGCTAAAAATAGTATTGCAAGTTTTGGCTTCTTTTGACATAAAGATCACAATCGAGTGCAAAACGCTAACAATGGAGAGACTGATCAGAACACAAGCAGGTTGTCCAATCTGAATGCTTTAGATTCTGCAGAATTTTCCTTTTCTTTTTCAAGAAAACAAAACAAACAAACAAGCAAATCACCTTTGCCATTTCAGAAACACCTTGCACCAGGCCCTCATGTTCCCTCGCTGAGCCGAGCCGAGCCGGCTGGCTGATGATACGAGGAATCACGGCAGCAGCACGTTCCAGAGCAGCAGTTACAACTCAGACACTCCGAGCTCTCCGGTCGAATACAGGGTTCACCACCGGCAGAGACAAACAGCTTCCCTCTGAGTTTTCAGTTGGCTATTGGGCCACAGGCCCTCCCTACTTCAGCAAAAATACTTCCACAAGAAACACCATCCAAAGGGAACCCAAGCCGGGCATGACCAGGGCATGGTGGGGCTAGGGTGGCATTGGGTCTAGAAAGTTCCAACTATTGAACCGGGTCAGCACCAGGCACACCCATGTCCACTGGGAGAGGACAGGCCCTGTTGCTGACTGCCCTCCTCTCAGCTCTACACACAAGCCAGTGTTCCCTGTTGGCCTGCCCAGCAGTCGCCCCACACAGACACTTCGGAGGTCTCTCTCCCCACCTGCCTCACATACACAGCTGCATCCACATTCAGGGGCAAAGCAAGACACCAAATCAGATGCAAACTTAAGCAACCACAGAGAACTCGGGTGAGCGGACCCGGTGCCGAAAACAAGACAGAATTCAAGTACTCAGGCCGCCAGACAAGCTGGTGGCCCCTCCAAGCTCACAGTATCTGTTCTGTCTCTGGTCCCTTCCTCTGGACCTTTTGCACTCGTCCCAGCTGCCTTGGGGGCCATCCTCTCTGGAAGGGTATGGGAGGGTGGGAGTGGCGGCTGGACCCCAGGCCGGCCACCCGCCTCAGCAGCTCCAACGCGGTCCAGTCCCAACTGTCCTCCTGGGAAAGGCGCTGATATAACTTAGCTCTATAATAGACTCTATATAGTACACGCGTATTGCTAGTAGTCAAGCTTAGGAATAAAGGTGCAGACATCTCATAAATACTGAGTGGCTCGTCTGTCGTTTACAGGGTCTGGATGAGTCAGGGTCGCGCTGGCAGGACAAGACAGCCCCGATTCTGGAATTAGTCACTTGTAAACAAAGGAGGGGGAGGGTCCGGTTTTCTTAATTGGTTTTCCTTGGGAAAAATGATCAAAAGATGCTAAGGCACTCTGGAAGGCCCCTCCGAGCCCAGGCCCGCCACCCCGGTACATTCAGGAATTCAGGATGCAGAGGGAGCACCCCCCCCCCCAGCAGGTACAGTCATCTGCCATACACGTTCCCAACCTTGTTCACTGCGGGACACATTAGTGCAAAACGCTCGGCCTGGCCCGCCCGGGGCGCAGGGGGAGCTCAGAATCCATTCACATTGAATAATTATTAAGTTTTGTCTATAGCTCTTGCCTTCCTTACCCAGAACAACAAAACAGATGGCGATTATAAACAATTAAGGGTCAGAGGTCGTGGGACATTGTGCTAGCCTGAGCAGCGGTCAGGCGTCTGTGCGGCCACTGTCTCCTCCAGGGGCCAATGGTACCCTCCCTGTGCTGGTCCAGGGCAGGGGGGCCATGCTGGCTTTAGAGGAGAGTGGGGAGAGCAAGCCCTTCTGTCTACAGTCAGGACAGGTGGGTCTATCTCCCAAAGGTCCCCAGGGATGGTCAAATTAAAGTGCAAATTTGGGGGGTGGGGAGGAAAGCAGATGAAGAAAACTCCAGAGGGGCCTGGGGTGCAGCATGACATCACCCCTCCACTGCTCCCCGGCCTCCTCCCAGCACCAGGAAGGTTTGGTTCAGGTCACTGAAGAGCCCCCTGGGACTCCAACCCACCTGGGCCCAAGATAGGGATGGGAGCAATGAGAAGCTCACTTCTGGCCAGGTGGTTCTAGATCTGGGCAGAAGCCGTTAAGCCCTCTGTACTGGCTGCCTGTGGCCCAGGGAAGTCAGGTCTCCCTGGATTTGGGCTTTGAGGGGCAGGTGGAGGGGACAAGGCCAGCTGTGAGGTGCCCCACACATGGTTCTCCTTCCCCTCTCCAAATCCACTGGATCTTTCTGGAAGGCAGGCACATTCTATAGCTGGATGCAGTGTGGGAAGGGAGCCTCCTGTGAGGTCTCCCCAAAACTTCTCCATAAGAGAGGACAGTGCCAGAAGCACTGGGGAGCCCAGTGGCAGGGTGTCTAACCTACACCCTAGGCTCATATCAGACCTACTAGCACTTGGCTCTCCAGCTGAGGATAGCCTGCCCAGCTGTGTGCACACAGGAGAGGGGTTTGGGTCTCAGGATGGAAGGAGGGATAGGGGAGCAACACACCCTTTAAGTCTTGGAATAGGGGTCCCTGGTCACACCCAGGAGCTGCCTGGCTCTGCAGGCAGGTAGTCCTGGACAAGAGCCAAGGAAGAGACACTGGGCAAGTGGCTCCAGGGGCACTTCCCACAATCCCTTTGAACAAACTTAGAAACATCACTTCAAAGTTAGCCCTCTAGCCTCAAACCGACCAGCCCGTCCTCTATCAGCCCTCCTTGCTGCCCCGCCCCCCCCCACCATGCTTTCCTGACCCGCTGGTCCCCACTGGGCTCCATTCCTGCAAACTGCTCCAGCCTAGGCCTGGGCATCCACCGAGGTCCTCATAGCATGAGTGAGAAGCCCAGGGTGGAGGGGCCACTGCACCCTGGCCCAGCCCAGTCCAGGTGGCTGTGTCCTGCCCAGAAGAGCACCCAAGCCCTGTGAGCTTGGGTTCCATGCATCCTGGGTGAGCTTCCATGGGACCCCTGACTCCAACATGAGGCACGTGGACCCTGGCCAGGGTAGAGGACATGGGTATGCACTCACCCAAATCTATGGTAGGTGGCCCACAGGGAAGCTGCCCCTCCCCAGTTTTCTGCTCTATTGGGTCTGAAAGTTTCCAAACCACGGATGAAATAGATCTGAACTAAACAAAAATACCAAACAAGCACAATCCCAGAGTGGTTGGGGAGGCAGAGGGCTGCGAGGGCAGCAGGAACTGCACATGTCCCACAGTGGGCACAGGGTGGTGTCCCCACCCAGTGGGATAGTGGGAAGTCAGGTCAGTGCCAGAGGTGCCCTAGGGTTCAGCAGGCCAGCTCCTGGTGCTCCAGGTGGGCTGGGGGCAGTAGGGCAGAGCGAGGACATGGATATGGCAGGAGAACAAGGTATCTCCCCCATCAGGTGACCAGTAACAGTCATGGATGTGGCATTGTCACTGGTCTTTGCACACACACTCGCACACACGCACGCACGCACACACACACACAAGTGGCATCCCAGGAAGAAAGAAAATGAGGAATTTGGCCCCTGAGGGCCCAGCACTGCCCCAATGCCCCAGAGAGGCCCCGGTGGGCAAGAAATGGAGTGTCACATGCCTTCCCCTGCCAACCACAAGCCTCTGCTGGCCCCCAACTTCCTATTCCGGGGCAGGCAGAATAAGAAGGGCAGGTGCGGCAGGAGCAGGGCTGGGTACCAGGGGCCTGGCAGCCTCAAACCCCTCCCCAAGAATGGGGAGCGGAAGCCACAATGGGAGGCTGACCTGGGGAATATCACAAAGGAGCCCTGGGACCCTTCTCCCAGTGGGTGACCAGCGGCCTAACTGTTTACAGTATAATGAATGCATTTGTTTCCTTCATCCGTTTTAAATACAGGCAGAATAAAAATCACATTTTTGTCAGGCAGCGTAGCAGTTCAGTAGGTGAGTGGCTTGATCACATTGGTCTGTATTAGTAATGCATGCAAGCAGCTTTAGGACTGTCCCAGCGAGTGAGCCACCAGGCTCCTTACAAAGTCCCTGTATACGAGCCCTCTGGCCTTCTTGTCACTGCAGCCGCTGGCGTCTGGGGCCTGCTGGAGCTGGCACTGCCCTGCTCAAAGGGCTGCGGGGGACTCTGGCTGTCGGCAGGCAGAGGCTCGGGGGCAGCCACCTCCTGGATGACAGAGCCAGCCCCATCTGCCTCCTCGCTGGCCTCGAAGGTGGAGTTGGTCGCTGTGCTCAGATCCACATTCACGGAATCAGTTCTCAGAGCCACGATGGTGGCAGCATCACTCCGACGCTCAGCATAGAGACGCTGCTCGAACGCCTGAGCAGCGGCGGGTGGGAACTCGGCGTCGAGGGGCAGGCTGGCAGCCGAGGCGCCCATGACCGTGCGGTACATCTCCACGCCCTCCGGCAGCATGGACTTGATCTTGGGCAGCCAGCGCTTGCGGACGCGGCGGGCATTGGTGCACATGTCTGCAGCAATCACGTTCATCTCACTCTCCTTGAAGCTGGGGGCGAAGTTCTGACAATACACTGCAAGGACAGGTAGGGGTGGGGGCAGTGCATGATGGTGGTCCCCCAAGTGGCCAGAGAACCAGGATGCCCTGCACAAACCCCGGGTTAGGGCAAAAAAGGGCTGCAATGGTCACTTCCAGACCTGTAGGGACAGTCCTCAGCTCAATCCCAGCTGGCACAGAAGACCATGTGGCTACAAGGGCTCTCCTAGTCTGAGCTGCCAGACCAGTGGTCACTTTTCTCATTGCTCAGTCCAGGAGGCCCACACAGTCTTTGAGATAGCCTCCACTGGTCAAACTGGGCAGTCCCTAGCCACCTTCCAAGTTTAGACCCACATCTAAGCCCTCTGAGACTTCCTACCTCCACCTGCAAATTGGGACTGGCCAGACGGTCAAGACCCTTCTTTGTCCCAGGCTTCGTGAGCAACAGATGGCAAGCATTATCATCAATTAAAAACAAAAAACTTTCTCCACTGGAGCCACAGACCAAGGCTGGGCTCAGATTCCCAAAAAGCACTGAACTCGGAATGGGTCTTCCCAACCCCATGAGCCCTCCAACCGAGCATCAGCCACACTCCCTCCTGGCATCTTCCCAGGTCCCGGCTGTCACCCTGTACTTTGGGACTATAATTACTGACTGCTAAGGCCCCTCTGCTGTAAAACAGAATTAGCCACACAAGGGATTTTTTTTTTTTTTTAAAGCAAGAAAACAAAAATAGTGTTTGTGGGGCCAGTGGCCACAAGAGGCTAGGCTCATGGCTAGGTTGGCACATGGCAGGCAGTGGTAGCTTCTTCCCCATCTGGGGTGTGGGGCAGGGCGGTGGCCTGCCACACAGACGGACTGGGCTCCGCCCCACCACCCAGGAGCGGGAGGCAGAAGCCGGCCGAGCAGATGGCAAAGGCTCAAAATAACCTCAACATGTAAATAAGGGGTTTTGTTCAAAAAGGAAAATTAGATCTATTTCACATATTAAAATAGTTTCACAGCTGAATTCATCACGCTTGGAAACCTACCAAGGACGCTAACACCTCGAGACCAGGCTCTGCTTGCTGCTCTTTTCTTTCTCTTCTTCCCAGTGTTGCAGGCCGAGCCAGCACTGGTCCCAGGAGAAGCTGCACAGCCCAGGGCGACCCTGGGGCTCACCCAGCCTTCCTCAGACTGGGATCCGAATCCAACGGGGACTTCCTGTGCTTCCCAGACCCCACCCCACTAAGCAGACCCAGGCCCACTCACATTTCACGGCATTCAGGACTCGGCTATCCAGTGGCTTGCGGCTTGGGTCACTGGTGGACGAGCGGATGCCTGTGCCACAACTGTTGGCCAGCGTGTTCCTGGTGGAGGAAGAGGAAAGGAGTCAGGGTGATGCCACTGGCCTGGAAGTGACCCAAGGACCAGGGCTTTCCCACCACACACCAGATGGAACAGCCAGGCCCCTCCCATACCTCCCTCCCTTGGGCAAGCGTGCGTGCCCCCAGATTCACGCCCAGTCTCTCTCTAAGGACAAAGGCAAGGCCTCCCGGTTGAGAGTGGGTGACCTAAGTAAGCGGTTCAGTTGGGAGGCTGACAGGGTCAGTCCTGCGCCCTGGCCACAGGGTCCCCCGCCCAGGTCATCTGAGTATATTGCTTTGCCTTAGAGAAGGGGCTCTATTGACCTATCCATATAATGGGGGCACATATGGCTCTTTATTTTGGTGGGGAGGGGGAGTCAAGCCCTTTGGGAAATGTTAGGAAAGCCAGCCCTTCCCTAGACTGAGCCCTGGTCTGAGGGGACAAGCCACCTCTCCAGAACCATCCTTGGACTGCCAGGCCATGGTGTGAAGTCAGAAAAAGGCGAAGGGCTTCAAATGCTCAAACCTTGATGACCACATAGCTCACAGCTAAAGGAAACTTGAGAACCTTTCTTCCTCCCCCCGCCGCCCCCACCTACCTGTCAAAGAAGGTGGCCAGGAGCCTCCGAAGCAACACCTTGTGTTTCACCCCTGCGCAGAGGTGACAGTTCATGAGCTGGCCACGTGTGATGTAGACCCCAGAGCCTGCAGCCAGAAAATGCCAACCTGTGAGACCCCAGCCTTATGCCCCGAAACCCAGGGCTCATGTCCTCCTAGAGGGCTGCTGGGGTGCAATAGGCAGGTGGAGGAGCCCAAGGCAGTGGTGGGAGAAGAGGAGGAGCATGAGGCCTCTAGGACTTCTGCTGTGACAGGAGCAGCTCCTACATGCTGGTCACCAGGACAATGAACAGCTAAGGCCACCCTCTACCATCAGGCCTTGGGCATCCACAACTGGGACCTGGCTAGGGTTAGGGAAAGCCCTGGTGTCCTATACCTCTCAACACATCCTGAACTCTCAGCCTTCCTTGCAGTGCTCAGGCCCTAGGTTTGCCTTACTGCCCTGTCCCTTCCCAGACACCAAAGAACCTTAGGTAGAGAAGGGAGAGACAGATGGCAGGGCCGGAGGGTCTAATTGTGGCTTCACCTGGCCCAGCACTGGTGACCCCTGGGTGTGCAGAGGTGTGACCAAGGGAGGTTCTTGCTATGCCACCAACACCATGGAAACCTGGCAATGTCCCAGGAGCAGCCACAGAGCAAGATGAACAAAAGGTTGAGCCAATAGAGAACTGGGCCCTGTCAGGATAACAGGAGGCCTCTGTTTACAGAGGGAGCGTTTTCTTGGGAACCACCCCCAAGAAAAGGCCCTCATGGTCCATCAGAGCCCTCCACCAGTGCCTGGGAGGAAGCCTTGCTGAGAAGTGGCCATGGCCTCAGGGCACTGGTATGGTCCCATGCCCACCTGGCCACAGCAGTCCCTTCCACACCCACCACCTAGGAAGCTGTGTCCATGAAAAGATGGAATTGTTGTTTGCTGAGAGGCAACCCCCCCAACCTGCAGCTGGCCCCACCCAAGGCAGTGGTTCCCGGTGAAGGGGGACAATAGGGAAGAACGTGGAATTCACATTCCACTGGGAAGGTGGGCCCCAGCATGCTGCCCAGGGTGTGGCAGCTGGGGTGCCAGACATGAGTAGGACAGGACCGCTCAAGGAGGACTGCTCGGGGCCAGGGCCCAGAAAGCACCCAGCGCACATTTGAGACTTTCTTGAAAGAGAGAAGAAATTACTGGAAAATGGCTCAATGGCCTAAGAGGCTGGCAATGCCATCAATTTGTGTCTTTTTGCTGATGGCCTTAAACATCTACGAGTTGTTGTGAGGCCAGACGCAGACCCAGCACTGAAAGATGAAGGAAAAGACAAAGGTCAAGCCCTCCTGGCTCACTCTCAGAGCCTTCGTGCTGCTGGCTCCTGCAGGATCCACTTTGGACTACGAGCTCCCATTTAGACCCTGGACTGGACAATGGAGATGGGAGGGACACTGCTCACCCTGCAAGGCTCAGCGTGCTTTTTTTTTTTTTTTTTTTAATGTTTGTGGTACTGGGGAGTGAACTCAGGCCTCATACTTCCTAGGCTCACTTCCTTGGCTCTCCCACTTGAGCCATGCCCCTGGTTTGCAACTGGGCTCTGAGACCTAAATTAAAAACACATCATGAATACAGCCCCTGCCAATCAGGAGTGGGGCCCACCCAGGGGACTCAATTAAAATACTAAATTAATTCAATTGAATAACTCCTCTTAATGATACATTCTTCTAAAATGGAATTAGAGGAAATTTAAGACTTTTTTTTTCTGATTAGCGATGAGTACATTGTTCAGAGCTCTGAAAAAAGGAAAGGAGGGAGGATATTTGCGTGGGATGGGTGGGATGGGTGGGATGGCCTCACCTGCCACAAGCTCCAGCTTCTCCCCGGGGTCGCCCTCTGAATACAGTTTGGGGTGGCAGCGGTAACCAATCTGGCTGATGAGGCTGGCAGGCAGGGCCACAAGATCACGGCGGATAAGGACACAGGAGCGGCTCTCCAGCGGCACGGGCTCTGGCTTCTCTTGCACTGGGGCACACAATCAACATGGTTAGGTGGGCCCCTGCAGGCCAGGCTGGGCTGCTCTGTGTTCACTTGCCACACTCTCCAAGGCCCAGGATGGACTTGATCCAGGCCAGGCTGGGGCAGAGTCAAACTGATTGCAGCCTGCCCGCAACACTTCTTGTATGTCCACATTTCCTGCTGGCCTAGTTCTGACCCACAGGGAAGACCAAGAAAATGAGTGAGCAGAAGACACAGCTAGTGAGAGATGCCCACCTAGGCCCAGGAACAAGTGGCCAACAGTGGGAGACAGCTCCCAGGAGGTGTCAACCCGAGAGGCTGGGGCCTGAGGGGGAGGCCAGAGAGCGGCAGTGCAGGGAGCAGGATGTAGGATGGGCTGGCTAGAGGCCTCACTGCTGCAAACACGGCTGTGAGGCAGGTTAGAGTTAGGCAAAGTTTGGGACTGCTCCCACTCCCTGACTTGCCCAATGAGCTCGTCCCCCCACCCCCGGCCCATAGGTCAATGGAGCCAGGTAATAAATAACACATTCTCTCCCCACCTCCAAGTTTAAGGTGATATAAAAACGACCTAACAAAAGACCCCAGCCCATTTTCCCTTGTACAGCACCTCTTCTCATCTGGCAAGAGCCGGTGGTCCCCTTCCCTTAATAAAACTTTTCTTGCTCACTATGCCCACATATTCTGCTCAGATTCTTCCAAGCCAGAACTCAAGCACTGAGATCTTCTAGAAATACTTTTTGCAGTTAACATTTGGGGCCCAGTAGCCCAAACCATTCAACCAGGCAGAGTGGCCAGTTCTGCTGTCAGAAAAACCAAAGAAAGGAGTGGAATCTAGGAGCTGGAAGGGGGTCCCAGGTAGTTGGCTCCCAGACTCTCCTTGCAGTGGCTCCATGCAAGAGGCAGCTAGACCTGATGAACCTATTTCCCAGGTGAGTGGAGGGAACAGCAGATGGGGGATCTGGCATGTGTGAGGACATAGCCCCTTGGAACATGTAGGTCTGGCATAAGCAACTGCTCCTAAGTATTTGTCAACAGTAGAGCCAGGCAGACAGGCGTCGCTGCAGGGTGGCTCCAGCCTCCTGCTGTCTGGGAATGTTCCCGATAGACTGCTGCTGGGATGGGTAGTCAGGCCCAGGAGCCACTGTGCACCTGCAGCTCTGAGGTGTGCACCTATGACACTGCCTGGCAGAGGTGGCCTGTGGACATCCCTGTGCCATCCTGAGTATAGGACACCAGCTGGCCAGCAGCAGCTCTGGCCTAAGAATGCCTGGACTTTAGGCCAGGTCCTGCCCTAGGCCTCCTGACCACACAGACCTGGCCAGGATCTCCAGCAGGAAACCACACCTTGGGTGAGAGATCCCATGTAGCACTGAGATGGGGTCTTGGGCCAAGATCCATAATCTAATGACTATTTGTTGAGCAGCCTACAAGCTACAACGCAGAGGGGAACACATGGCTCTGCCTCCAAACCCAGCCCAGTGTTGCCTGAGCCCCCCATTTCTCTGCTACCCCTCCAGTCCCTCATCCCAGGAAGCCTTGCACCACCCCTCTCCCAAGGCCAGGAGGATCAACCTCTTGAGTAGCCCCCTCCTTGCTCCACAGGACACTGTGGCCACCAGGCTAGCAATCCTGACACTGGGGCTGCAAACACAGTGTCCTATACAGACAGAGGGCAGAGGCACTGTCTCACTGGTCCCTGTGTCCTCAGCACACAAGGTGAGCCTCTGGATTAGCAGTTCTCACTAGAAATCTCACCTGCTCTGGGCAAGTTGCTGCCTGCCTCTCTGGCTGAGCAGCAAGGTATGCCGGTGAAGGCCTCTGGCCCCCTGGCCACTCAAGAGTGGGTCTTTCTGGGTGAGTGGGGCAGGGCACATTCTCTTAGCAACCTCAGCAGGGTTGGAGTTTCCATGTAGAGGCAGCTTCAGGGCCTGGTCCTTGGAAACCCAGAGCATGATGCTCCCGCAGGCTCAGAGAATACCGGCTGAGGACAGGTGGCTCAGCCTCAAAAAGGGCCTGAAGCTGCTCTAAGATCGGAGATGGGGGCACCTGGCTGTTGCAGTTGGGTTGGTGCCCTGTCCCTCCACAGCAAACCCCACAGCATGGAGCCATGGGACAGCTGCTCAGTAGGGAGTTGATGGGGGCCTGGCAGGGCTGATGGCAAGGGAGGGTTTGAGCAGGAATTAACTGCAAACTATCTTTGCACCCAGCTCCCAAGGGGGAGGAGTCTGGGCTGCCCAGCAGCCAATATCTGGTAAATGTGACCACCCACACCCTAAACTGCATTGAGTCACTGGGTAGAAGGTGGGTCAGAGGGTCAGGTGGGAGAAGGGTAAAGGGGTAGTGAGACCACCTGCAGTCTAACCTGTCCCCAGTGTCTAGAATCACCTGACCCTGTTCCTAAGCTCCCTCAGGCCCCTCCACCCCAGTCCTAAGTGGCTTCAGGCCCTCCCTGAGTGGCCTCCACCGGGCTCAGGATAAGCAGGGTATGACCTTCCTTCTGACTACAGCTGGATTCAGAGAGAAGAAAGGAGTCTCCCGGAGTCAGCAGACACTGAAAGATGAGGACAGAGGCCAGGAAAGTGGCTGACTGGCTGTGGAGGTGGACTGGGAGCCCTGCCTGGCACCAAGGGGGAGTCAGGTGGTGTTTCCCATCGGGCAGAGCAACGGAGAATCTTTACAGCCCAGAATTACCCAGGGGCTCAGGGACCACATGGAAAGCAATCCAGATGATATTTTAAAACATAATTACCCACCCCCCGCCCCCCGCCCAGCCTGCTGTGATTACACATGCAAACGAGCAGCTCCGACGCTGCGCGTGGCATTTACATAAAGAGTGTTCACCAACAGAAATAATTCCCCATCCACAACCACCTCGTCTGGAGATGTTTTTCTCAACAGCAGAAGTTGTTTGCGCTCCGCACACACACCCCTCCCCAGCCCCAGCCCGGCTCCCCAAGAGCCAGAGACTGTCAGCACAGAGCCCCAAAAAACCGCTTCTATTTCTGCCCTGCTGAGTGCTGGATGCTGTTGAGGCTAAAAATATCCCAAACCGAGTTGCAGCTCATCTGAAAAGGGGCTCCGAACTTTCTCATGTGCTTCACTCCTTCCCCAGACCCCCAAATCACTGACCAAAAGGGCTGCAATCAACCAGGAGCATTAAGGACTGAGTTACAACTGGGTGTGACAGGAAAACCAGGGAGACTTGTTCCCAGGGAAGATGGGACACTTGCTCCCGGTGGCCCTCAGAAGACCACTGAGTGGGGGCCAATACCTGCCTCCAGGGGTGGTGGTTCCCTTGAGGGGTTGTAAGCAGGGGAGACGTCCAGCAGTCACACTGAGGTCCTCTATGCCTGAGTCTCCAGGGACCAAGAGACCTCTGGCTCCCATCCCCCAGACTGGTCCCCCAGGCATCACTGCTGGCTTCAAGTTAATGGCCGAGGTTAAGTCCCAGGTTTCCAGGACTATAGGTAAAAGCACAGTTAGCTATTTGTATGCAGAGGTGACAAGTGCTCTCTCTGAAGGTAAGTCCTTTCCTAAAGGTCATGATAGAAGGATCTGAGAGAGCACCAGCTCTCAAGGTGGGCATGACACCATCCCCCTCGGTTAAAGCAAGCCCAACCCTCTTATCACAGGACATGTGACGATCGCAGCCTAGGCTGGCCCTAGGGAAAAACAACTAAAGCAAAAAGGGCTGGAACCTGGCTCAAGTGCTAGAGTATCTGCCTAGCAAGCAAGAGGCCCTGAGTTCAAACTCCAGTATTGAAAAAAGAAAAAAAATGGATGAGTGGAAGGATGAGGAGTACAGGCATAGAAGGAGGTCGTTGGGATTCCACCAGCCTGGGCCCTGACCTTCCCCTGCTTCCCTGTCCCTGTCTGGGACTCTGAAGATCCCAGGGGAGCATGCTGCTACCTGTCACTGGATGCTGCCCTCAGAAGGTCCCAGATGACTAGCCCTGTTCGCGTCCCCCGACTCAGGAGCACAGGCACCCCACCCCTGGAGTCCTGCACAATGGTGTGTATCAGTGGGTAACCACCAGGCATCCTGGTCAAAGCCCTGAAGAGCCCTGGGGGAGGGGAGGGAGAAAGAAGGGGACACTCACTCCATAGGAGAATACTATCCCTTAAAATGCAAAATAAGAAAATGAAGCTCAGTTCTTAATTATAGAGAAATGTACAACATAAACCCAAAATGACAGAAAAATGCTGACTCACACTCTCTGATTTTAAGACTTCCTATAAAGCTGAAGTGATCAAGACCACGTGGTACAGGCAAACGGACAGACACGCAGCTCCACAGCACAGAACAGAAGCTGCAAACAGACCCATATAGGCACACTCAATTGGGTTTTGATGAGGGGACACAAGTCATTCAGGAAAGGAAGCAGTGGCCCTTCTGACTAGCAGCGCTGGAGCAACCGGTCATCGGCACACAAAAGCAAACCCCAAGGAACCCTTACCTAAGCCTAAAGGTGCAAGAGTGGATCACAGACTCAAATGCAAACCGAAAACTTCTGGTAGAAAATCCTTGTGATCTTGGGTCAAGCTAAAAGCTTAACGGGAAAGTACAGTCCTTAAAAGACGTAAATGACAAAGTGGACTTCATCAAAATGAAAAGCTCTTCTGTGAAAGACGCTAACAAAAACAAGGTAGCCACAGGCTGGACGAAAATATTTGCAAACATCATATTTAAAGAGTAAAGAGCCCTCAAAACGTCACAGTAAGCATGCAGCCCTGTTTGAAGACTGAACATAAGATGTGGATACACTCACGGATGGAGGATTAGCACAGGAAAAGATGCTCGATGCTCAGGCATCTTTAGCCATGCGAGAAATGCAAAGTAAAACAATGCAATTCACACAGTTCCTAGAAGGGCTGGACCTAGAAACACCACCACCACCAATGCCAGGAGCCCATGGAGCACGGCGCTTAGCATCTGACCTGCACTTACACACCTAACTATTACCCAAGACATCCAAGACATGAAAACTACCTCCAGAGAACCCCAAACAGGAACAAATGCTCAGCCCCCACACCCCACCACAGATGAACGGGCAAGTACATGGTGAACCATCCTACCATGGCTTATTACTCAGCAATAAAAAAGGAACAAAATATTTATACACAACTCGAATGACTGTCAGGTTCCTCCTGCTGAATGGAAAATGCTGGTCCCAGGTGGTTATGTGCTGCTGGTTCCGTTCGTGTGGTTTTCTCCCAAAGACAAAACTCTAGGGACAAGAACAGATGGGAGGATGGCAGGGGGTACGGTGGGGTGTGGAGCCACCAAGAGACGGTATGGAGGGGTTTGGAGAGTGACAGGTCACCTGTCCCCAGGCTGGCCACACAGTCTCTCCCTGGCCCATGGCTACTCAGCTCCAGGCAGCTTGAACTCATGCACGAATGCACACCTGATGGGTGATCTAGAGACACCCCTCACCAATCCCTGCAGCTGCAAATCCAGCTCAGCACAAACCCAGCACTGGCAATCTTGAGAGCCCACACTGGGAAGGACGTTCTCCTGAATGCAGTGGTCTTGGGGTCCTGGAGACAGGTGCACAGAGGGAGGAGATGGGGTGGCCCTGAGGAAAGGCCTACAAGTGGGCAATCAGACAGGCTGAGGGCAAGACCCCAGGCTGAGGCCTTGGCAATGACCAGAAGGCAGGCTGGTGGGTGGGAAGAGTGTAGGACACCCCTGTACCCAGAGAAGGGGAGCTCCATATCTATCTGACCCTCCCTCCACATACAGCAGTGTCCTCCCCTCACCTAAACACACATCTGTGGCCTAAATAGCTGCCCTCTGGCACCAGTCAGGCCGAGGTCACCACCTATTATCCAGCTCCTGACCCAGATTCCTCTTAATGGCACAGCCATGGCCAGCTGAAGGTCACTTCATGTGAACATGGATACCTACTGCAGTCAGTGCTGCTTTGAGTGGCCCCTCCTCCCTAGCGTCACCTTGTCCACTCAGCACTGGAGTTGGGGCTTCCTCCTAGCTGGACCAAGACACAGCGCTTACTGCTGTGAAAGGGCTGGCATCCAGTGAGCACCTAATACATGTGAGCCTCCTCATTACCCACCACAGCTTAGACAGCTCTGCCTTCATCCAAGGAGGACAACAGGTGTGTCCAGCCAGGTGTCAAACTCAAAGATGCCACTGATAAGTGCACCCCTCCTTTATGTGCCAGGACATAAACACCACCACGTGAGCACGCCATGCCAACGACTGTGAGGCACACCCTTGTCCTGGATGCTGAGACATGGGGAAACCCCATCTTGATCCAGTGAAATGTGGCATGTTGAGCACTGAAGAAAGAACACAGGCCTGGCAGGGACAGCGGAGGACAGGACAATGATTGTGGTATGGGAATTACACGTCAGGAGTGTGGTGTACACACACTCTGGCCTCTGTGGGTCTACCGCAGTGTCCTCATGGTTCCCATGGGTGACCCGGGCCCTCCAGCCTTTTCCACACCAACTTAAAGCAGTCCACTCAAACCTGGTGGCTGCCACCTCCACACCTACCCCTGACCGGAGCCCCTTTCCAGAGCCAAGGCTCTCCTCACCCGGACACGTCAGGTGAGGGCCTCTTACCCCCGCACATGCTGGCTCTAGAAGTCCCCCAGGTTCTCCAACCTTCTCATAGAGATCCTGGCAATTGTTCTGAACTCCCTCGGGCCACGGCCCTTTCCCGCTCTGCATCTTTCCATGAATTGCTTCAGCTTCTCCAATGACATCCTTGAGCCACCTGGCAGTGCCACCTTCACACAAGGCCAGATGCTGCCTCTGTGTCCAGCATGGGAACGAGTTAAACAGGTCATGGTTGACCACACTAATGGCCAGGAATTACTGTGAAGACCCTGGTAGGATTTTGTGTGTGCCAAGAATGACACCAGGATACTAGCAAGCCTAGAGCAAGGTCCCGGACTGTGCTGACACCTCACACGTGCTTGTGAATGCACACAGCCTGATGGACAAATGCCAGGACTGGGAGCCTGTGAATTTTTCTACGAGACACATCAGCATGGGAGGAGTTGCTCACCTGTGACCTTTCTATTGCCTTTAAGTTAGTCAGCACCCATTAGCTATGCAAAAATAAACACATTCGACTTGTAAAATAACCAAGAGACTCTCACTGCAGCTGTGCAGGCACAGACAGTGTTAGACCAGCCTCTTCAACCAGAACAAGGAGAAGAGCTATGGTGCTGAAAAAGGGTCCCTAGGTGCCCAGGACTTAGGGGCTGAAACCCCACAGGCAGAGCCAGAAGCCAGCAGCACTGGAGCTGCCGGGCCCAGTACCCTGGGAACGGGCATTCTGGGTGCCATTGCACAACTCTCCCCTGGTGTAGAATACAGAGCAGCACTCATGCAGGACGAGATTCAAAAGACAACTCGAAGGAACTAAAAGCAATGAGGTCTAGACTTTGGCATGCCCCAGTACTGGGGAGACAAAATTGGATTTCAGGGCCCACCAAGAGGAACAGCCCTAGGGAGCACTGGGCTCCCAGATGAGCCCTATAATCTCCATGGCCTGGGCCTGAGCCTGATTGAGCAGGCCACATCCAGCCTCAGCCACTCTGGCCACTCACTGCACCAGCTCCCAGGCCAGGCTCAGGCAGAGCTGCTTAGCGCTTCTAGAATGCTTTCAGACAATGACCAGCAATCAATAAAATGACTTTAGGAATACCAGAGAACAGCACCAAACGATTTAAAAAAACAAAACAAAACCAAAGACAATTTAGAAAAGACACCAGATCAGACAATTAACAGACGCTGACTTTAAAATAACTGCTGTGAATATGAGCAGGAAATGTAGGTGACAAGATGGAGACTGTCAAAGGAAACTAGAATCAGTGAGGACAGAGCCTGGGAACAAAAAATTACAGTAACCGAAGTTAACGAACTGGAAAGAACGGTTTACGAAGAAATTAAACAGAGCAGATGAGATTCGCAAACTGGAAAATAATTCAATACAAAATATCCAGATGGAGGAAGGAAAAGAAAGAAGAGACAAAAGTGACAGGAAGCAGAAGAGGTGCGTGGAACCGGGACCTGCTGGAAGCCTGCACATGAGCGGGCGAGCACCTAGAGCCCTGAAAAGGGCAGGCCCCAGAGATGGGGGTTCCCACAGCAGCCAGGACAGAGCCCCAGTCAGGACTGGTGCAGGGAAAAGTGGGGAGTCAGAACAGTAAAGTAAACCCAACTACTTTAAACCAGAAGTTGGGGGCAGATTCAAATGTTCATAGAAATAAAACCCAGGGAGGTAGCAGGGCAGGGCAGGAGGTGCGTGTGGGACCAGGCTGGGGTTGGGGGGTGGGAAGAGAGGAGGAGAGAGAGAGAGAGGGAGAGGGAGAGAGAGAGGGAGAGAGAGAGAGGGAGAGGGAGAACTGCAGGGGCAGAAGGGCCTCTTACTGTGGTAAATCCTAACACTATAAAATCTGGTCACTATGAATGCTGAGAAGGATCCCTCCTAAAAAACGGGCAGTACAGAAGCTTACAAGCACATGGACCAAAAAACCAGGACACTTAACTAGCCCCCAAGAAACCAGGGGAACAAAGATCAAAGATCAGACAGTGGATCAAACCCAAAGACGTCCCTATATGAAATTAATGAGGACGACCCACTCCAGTTAAGAATTCAAAGCCTGGAGCTGCATGTGGTGACCCATATCTGGGGTCCCAGCTACTCGGGAGGCCAAGGCAAAAGCATCCATCACTTGAGTGCAGGAGTTTGAGGTGAGGCCAGCCTGGACGGCATCACAAGACTCTGTTGAGAAATAAAAAGACAAGGAAAAGTTGAAAACAAAAGACGGAAATGATACACACGTAAAACGGCACACGGCAGCTCTGCTGATGTCAGACCCCTGGTAGAGTACCAGTGCTGGAGGTGTCATCTTACACGATGTAATACATGATATTCATAGGATAGGTCAATTCAGCAGGGACAGAAACTACCCTGAAACAAGCCTGCACTCGGCACAGCCAGCAGGACAGGAGGTCACCACTGCACCTGGAGGGCTGACGCCTTCTCCGTTCCAACCCAAGAAGACAGAGCAATTTCTGTCCTCCAGCTCTGTCTTGATTTGATTCTTAGTGCAGTTTACAAGGCTCGACAGCACAATTTCTGTCTCTCCTTTCTTTCCTTTTTAAATGGTACTGAGGTTTGAACTCAGGGCCTCACACCTGCTAGGCAAACTCTCTACCCCTTGAGCCACCAACCCGTTTTTGTGTACTTTGGTCTAGGGTCTCATGAACTATTTGCCCAGGCTGGCCTCAAACCTCAATGCTCCTGAATTTTCTTTTCTTTCTCTTCTCCCTTTTCCTTGTGGTACTGGTGACTGCGCTCAGGACCACTGGAGCCACACCCAGATCTTCTGCTGTTTCAGATAAGGGTCTCGCTAACTGCCCCCGGCTGGCCTTGAACCATGGTCCGTCCACCTACCTCTGCCTCCCCATAGCTGGGATTACAGATAGGAATCACACACCTGGCTAATTTCAGAGACAGGGTGTGGCTAAACTTGCTTGGACTGGCCTTGAACTGAGATCCTCCTACCTTAACCTCCCGAGTAGCTGGGATAACAGGCGTGCACCATCACCATCTGGCACTAACCGATGCGCTTTCTTTGCAGTGTGTCTGGCATCTGAGCAAACTGAACAAGAAATATCATACAGGCACACACACATACATAGTGATGATATCCTAATTGTTATCTCGTAAACAAATATCTTAACTTCTATCTACTGAACAGCAATGATGAACAAGACCAGAAGTCACTGAACACCAGGACACCCTGGTGCATTCTATTCATTCACACAGCATAAAAGAGAGATTTTGGTTCAAGGAGTCTTCTGCATGCCTAAACAGTGGATATACTCAATGAGTGCGAAATATTGTGTAGTATGAGAATTTATTAGAAAGACAAAAGAAATACAAATGACACTACAAATATTACACACACACTCACACACGAACCCTGCCTATATTCAATGCATGTGGAAAATTACCAGCTGAAATCCCCCATTACCCTACTGTGCGGACACTTTCATGACTTCAAAAAGCAAGTCCCAATAAACTCCAGAGCAAGGAGGTGGTCTGAGCATAGTCTAGGACCACAGGGAATTTAATTCAGAAACTGAAAGAGAAGATAACCAGGAAATCCAAACATATTTGCAAATTAAGCAACACACTGCTAACAAAACCCAAGGGTCATGGGGACGGTGTCCTCATATATTAAAAAATATTTTCACCAAGATGATAACGAAGAAATATGATGTATCAGAATGTGTTGAGCTCCTGCCCAGGCTGTAGGAAGCGCGCTGGTGAGGGACGCTCACCCTAGCTGCACAGATTTCAAAGGGCCGAGCCATGGAAGAGCAAGAGCACCACTTAAAACTGGAGAACAGCAAGTTAAGCTCAAAGACAGTAGCAATCAACTGAAATTAAAGCACAGAAATAATGAGGAGGAAAAATCCAAGTTGGCTCTTTGAAAAAACTAGCACAATGGAACTCTCCAATAAATCTGAGTTAAGAAGAAAAAAGAGACACAGATGAACACAGGAAGGTCCGGCTGCATGGCAGAGTCTGCGGGTGGGGGGATGGGGGTGGGGGCAGCTTTCGTGAGGATAGCCGACAGGGCAGATTTTCAGCTATTTGCCACACAGTCTCTGTCATGTGTCCATCCT